CAGACTACTTTAAGATGAAAGGTGCTTAACTGTTGTGCCGCAGAACTACACTGCTGCTTCTGTGGATGTCGAAGTTGGGGCTCGTTGTGGATGCCACCGGCGAAGGAGGAGGAGCTCCCTGGCCGCCGAGGTCGCCACGCCCCGCATTGATCCGGGCTCCAGGCCCGTGCTACCACAATATACTTCATTACAACATGTGTTCAAAGCGCTAGCCTTCTTGAAGCCAAACTTATATCCGTACATGACAACAAAATGAATGAAGTTACAGAATAGGCTGAGAACATGCAGAGTTCAATATGAGCTTATATATGAAAAGACATCCAAGTTAAATAGCCATTACAGATTACGACGCTACACCTAATTTCTACTTTCTAAGGTGATAACATGTTAATAGAATAGCAAATCAGCAAGCTACAAAGAATACCACTTTCGTATCTTCAGTATTACAACTAACACTGTATCTATATCTAAGGTTTTAAACTATATTGACAGCTAATAGAACAACAGTAAATCTGTTACTAGCACAACAAGCAACTGAGTGTGCCTGCAAGTAGCTACAGCATGCAACGGTAAATCTATATTCAAGGTTTTAAACTATATTGATAGCTAATTGTGTATTACCCTGTAAGATAAGTATAGTTCTCAAGACAGAAAAGGCCTAATTCCCTGAAATACATGTACATAAATATCACATTGATCTAGTGCTACTGTCAACACACATGCTGCTATTGATCTAGTGCTATTGTATTTAAAATACCTATATTTAAAACTGGTTTCACATGCACGTGAAGAGTTGAACTTCATTTTTTCAACTAAACTTGGTTGACCCAATTGAGTTAGACTTGGTAGTTCGAGCTCACCAGACAGGAGGAACTCCCTGGCCGCCACAAGACTTCATTGCAGTGTGCTCAATGCACTAGCCTTCTCAGAGCCAAACTTACATACCTACGTGTCCACAAAATGAATGAAGTTACAGAATAGGTTTAAATTACCATGCTAATGCGAGCTAAAGAACATACTGATATCAAGGTACTAACAGGCATAGAAAAAATAAATTTGTAAACAAAGAAATTATATAATGCTAAAGCCAAATCTAGTCCATGGGCAGTGTGCAGGTTTTGGTATCGTTGTGTGCAGGTTTTGGTGTCATTCTAGTGTGACAGCAGTGGAAGACTACGTATGTTTGTCTGTAGCTTATGGAGGGCCGTCCCACAAATTTCATGGGCCCTTGGTTGCTGCTGCCTGCCTGCCTGGAATACGTCGTCGCCCTATGTAGATCACCGTTCAGACGTGCTCCGCCGGCGACTCGCTGCCTGGCGGCGGCGGTGCCTGCCGTGACTCGTGAGGAAGCCGATAAGTCAGAGGAGAGAGGAGACGAGTCGCGTGATCATGGACTCCTGAACAGGATACAGCTTGTGCATCTATATCTGTACCCTCATGGGCCCATGGGCATCGCACAGGCTGCCCCCCCCCCCCATAGGACGGGCCTGAGCTTATGTTGTCCTAACGCACATCCATGAAAAATATACCACTCACATTACTGCTTTGGATGCTTGAAAAACTAAAGTAAAGACAGTATAGAAAGATGAGAAACATCCTAGTTCTTCAGGATTTAATTTTTTATCAGCACTTTCCACTCAACATGATACTTATCTCTGTGGGGCCGACTGGACCTACTAATGAAGAGGCTCGATGAGAGAGCCAATGAGAAGGAATAAGTATTGCACATTCATGATTCTCGCATGACTTATGAAGAGTGTGGTAACACTGGACATTCAGGCAATAACTGCTTAGACATTCAAGAAGATGTGAATTACATTAATAATAACACCAACTACCGTCCTCAACAGAATCAAGGTTGGAACAAGCAACAAAGGTTGAACTACTCAGGTAACTATCAAGGCAATAATTTCAATAATTTCAGTAAACCACCTTTGAGAAAGCTAGTCCCTGGCAAAGGAATAATAATGGAGAATCTTTCTAGAAAATTAGCTTCCAGTGATAAGATGCTAGAAAACATAAATACTAGACTAGATAACTTTTCATCTGCCATTAAAATTTAGCTTAGCTTTAATAAGGTGACAGAGTCACAAGTATCTCAGCTGGTAGCTATTGTTCCTCCCGCCGACAAAGGTAAGATTTTGGGGCAGCCGGAAGAATTAGAAACTTTAAATCTTGTCGGTATTATCAATGCAGGATATAGAGATCCATCATTTAGAGGATGGAAGGATGATTCCTTGCCTACCAAGAAGGGCAATCCAGGAAGACCCGTCATCCGGATCGCTATTGGGCCAAACGAGTTTAAAGAAGCTATATGTGACTTTGGTGCAAGCGTCAACATTATGCCCAAGGTAATTTCTGAGAAAATTCATGGAGATCCATTATTGTACAAAACCATGTGCTTGCATCTTGCAGGCCAGTCACTCACTGCTACCCGAGGGCATTCTCAAAGATATATGTGTGCGAGTTGGTAACTCAGTGTGTACCTCTGAGACTTTGTTGTGGTTGAGACATGAGGTGATGACATCTGCACCTATCATTTTGGACCGACCCTTCTTGAGCACCGCTAGAGCCATTATCTACACCAACGGCACTAAGATCTGTTTCACCATCAAGGGCAGAAGGGAGCAGTTCACTTACAAGAATCGTACACTAGAGTCTCCTAGTCACATGCACCAGGCATACATCTATAAGAACAAGACTTCAGAGAAGAATACGAACAAGAGAAGGAACAAGACAAGACATCATTAGATAGAATTAGTGAAGATGATCAATATAGTCCACACGGAGCACGACCATCTCCTTGTGTCCCCGTACCTTATCAAGCAAGATGATACAGGAGTACCAAACATCGAGTGCACAATCAACCAATGGACCTTTCAAAAGACATTTTGTGACACTGGGGCAGGAGTCAACATAATGGCTAAGGTAACATACAATCTCATATTTGGTGACAGACCGCTGCATCCCACCTATGTGCAGCTACAGATGGCGGACCAAACATTTTGAATCTCGGAGGGAATAGCAAAGGACATCATGGTGAAGATAAGAGATCACTATACCCCTACCGACTTCATGGCCCTCAACATGGGAGAAGAAGAACCTGATCCACCCATCGTGCTTGAAGTCCATTCCTCAATACGACTTGAGAAATCTACATGAGAAAGGGAGAGATCCACTTCCAATTCCCTATGAGAATGTACGTTGTTACTTCAATAGTTATACAACATATGAGCAGCCAAAGAAGAACAGATCAAGAAGGAGGCGTCGTTCATCCCAACACCAAAAGAATCAACTCTTAAAGGATGGATGGGCTGACTATGAAGGAGAAGTTTTGAGAAGTGAAGATATCCTAGTAGTTAAAGAAGATGACTCTCCTTCATCCATGTCTAGCCCACCACCAAACATGTATGGAAAGAAAAGGTAAAATCAGCTTCCAGTTCACCATCACAAGAAGAGGTGCAACCAAGGTCACTATGCCGACTGTCTGATGTGCCATGGCAATTTTGAGCAAGACAAGGAGTCCTATTCGAAGGACTTTAATCACTGAACCCTCACCGAAAGGTAACTCGGTAGTTGTCCATTTTTCTCTTTTTAGCATTGCATTAATTATTTTTCTTTAGAAAAATTACTTTTCCGCGTTTCGCATTGCATAATTAATTCCTGTTGCATATTTACTTTCCCATATCTGCATTAGAAAAGAAAATAAAAATGTTCTTGCATTGCATTCTAAAAATGCTAAACCAAATATGAATAATTTTGTAGCATGTAACAACCCGCAGGGATATCCATAGTGGTGGCATAAAAATAAAAAAAATATGCATTCATCCTGTTGCATTTTGATTAGCATCATGAGTTAATTAGTTCATGAAGACATGTATATGTGTGAGTTTGTGAGAACTTTAACGATTTCGTCGGTTTCATGTATTGATGGCAACGAGAACAACTAAGTGAATGCATGAATGTGTCATGTGTTTTGTCTGGATGTCTTATATACATGTGTTTGTTTGATCTGTGAAATCTACACTCGATTTGAGTTCAAATTGGTATGAATCTACTAGCTGCTGCTGTGTTTTATTTTTTTTAAACCAAAAATATTAACCGAGGAGGTCCAATAAGAATGCCTGCCACTCTTAATGATTAATCGTGGCGGTAACATTAGAGCGCCCGCGGCGGTTAATCGATTAATCGCAGCGGGCAAAGGGGCCCGCCGTGGTTTGGTCATGATTAACCATGACCTCTTGGCCGCAGCGGGCCCTTTTGCCAGCCACGATTAATGAATTTAGCCCGCCACAAAAGTAGTGCCTCCTGCTCGTCAAAGTTCACCGCATCCTCGGTGACGCCATGAATTCCAGTAGCTTATTATTAACACAACGCATCATAATTTCTTGCAATATTTACACTTACTTGCAACAACAATTTATCGTGGCCCTTACACCTACCTCTTCCAATGGAGGTTACGACTAACATGTACAACTCAGTAGTTTAGATGTATTAAGTGCCATGTATCGCAACAACTTATAGTTCATGTTGCAATAGGGCCTCCTATTGCGATTGAATTTGTGACGCTGTGGATACAAGTGGTTGGATTAGGGTAAAACTTTTGTAGTGACTGAACAATTTGTGTTAAAGAAAAGGTCGCAATTGCAAATGCAATTTTCATGACATTTTGGACATGCTAAATAAGATAAAAAATAGCTTCACTGATCTTGACACATACATGTAATATAACTTTAGAAAAAATAAAATGTACACAGCCGCCTCGACAAAAGGTTGACTAGATATCTTATGTCATATAAAAATATATTATTGTAAATTGTGTGTATACATAGCTCCGCCAGAATATTCAGGAGAACCTAGTATACTTTATTTTGCGGTAGTTTACCACAAAATAACCGTAGTAAATGAACTATTGGCCTGCTTATTTATGGCCTCAATCAATCTTACAAAATTATATAGTGGTCAACAATTTTGACTCAGTGGAAGAGGAGATGTGCCGATTACCCCTCAAACTTGATATCAGTTTTGATAACTGAGCCAGGCTTCAATCCAGCAGGGAAAATTTCATCCCGGTTGCGGTAGCCACCACCCTTCACAGAAAAGCGGACGGAGAGGGGCGCCTTGAGCGGTGCCTTGCTGTCTTGTGTAAAGGTCATGGCTGGTGACTCCTTCATGTCGTCCAAAAATTCCGCGGCGCCCTTTTCTCTGATCGCCAGCTCATGGATGGGGAGGTTGGCGACAAGGACTAGGTGTGTGTACGTGGAGGTGGTGCCCTTGCCGACCGTCAAGGTCACTGTGTTGCCGCACAATCCAACGGCAAACAAGGCTGCCAGCGCCGCCATGGCCAGCAGGAAGGAGGACGAGGAGGCCATCGGTGAAGTAACAACTTAGCAGGAGTAACTTACCTTATTTCCTGATCGATCGAGAGGGCGGGAGGGAGGGATATGTGTGGTGATTGTTGTTGCTGGTTGCAGCAGCTGGCTGAGTATTTATGGGCGGCCTTGGCAACAAAATTAGGCATGGACGTACGACATGCCAGCAAGATCTCTAGCCGGCTTGTTTGTTGACGAACACTTGTTCAATTGCCACAAATAGATCTGTGCTAAGTAGTACAGGGTGTCTTGCTTTCACGCAAAAGACGCGCAGGACATGCAGACCTCTCATAAAGCATGGGGAGCTGACGACCCCACCCCCGCATGCACCGTCTGTCAACGTGCTGCCGCTGTAGCGTAGTGCCTGAGCACTGCTTTGCGCCCTCGCCGGCGCGGCCCCGCCTTGGCTTCTGGGTGGCGGCAGTGGTAATGAGAGAGATTGGGAAATTTTGTAAGGGAAGGGCCGTTTGGGTTTGAAATGCATTTTGTTCCCACCGTCGATCAAACGGCCAAGATCAAGGGGTCATTCTGTTCGCACTGAGTGGGTTGTGGACTGAATACGTGGAATGGGCTAATTTAAAGTTGTTTTGTCCATTTTTATTTTCTTTTTCCTTTTTATTAATTTAGAAAATAACAACAAATTGAACTACACGTCGTATCCAACAATGTCCAAAAATTGGAAAAAAAGCATATGTAAGAAGACATGTTCTATTTGAGCTTGCATCCTGAAAATCTCTAGAAAATTAAGTGTTTTACTAAACACTACTCAAGATACTATTTTGGTGACTCCGACAAAAAAATCAATAATATCATAAAGTGGTAAAAAAACTAAGAATTGATATGGGGGCACAATTTAAGTACATAAGCTTGCCATAAAATTTTGAAAACATTTTAACAAAGTGGTACTATACATTGTTCACAAATGCATATATCACTCACATAGTTTCATATAACTATGTGAGAGACATATAAAATTTGTGAACAGTGTTACTATCACATTGCCGGATGAAAAAATGGCAAAAATAAAAGTTGTAGATCTTTATGTTCATGACTTTTTCAGCTGAAATCGTTTACTACCTCAAAATTTTGTTTGAAGTTGCCATTTTTTTAAAATCCAAATCTTGAATCAATAAATAAAGTCACATAAAAATATGAATAAAATATTAGCCGTAAGAACATAATAAACTGATAGAGCTTGATTTTAGAAACATTTAGGAAAAAGAATCACCACATCTGGAGTTACCATGAGGAAGAAAGACTCGTTAGAAAATTTTGCTGCAGATTAAAAGAAGAAAACTTATGTTTATGTTCTTGAATTTCTAGTATTTAAAGCAATTATTTTTGTACTGAAAACCAGCAACCCATATTTTGTGGCGGTGGAATTTGACTCTCATGAAAATCATCACTCTCACGAAAATAAGTTTTCGTGGGGTTATTTAAATACTCTCACAAAAATAGTCGATTTTAATGACAGTGATGAGCATCTTATAAGGCCCGCCTCAGTTAAGGCCGAGGCCCAACAGGCCTAGGTGAGGCCCGAGAGTCAGCTTAGGGTTAGTTGACTCATTCACTTCCTCCGTCGCTCTCACCTCCCCCCTCCACTCTCTCTGTTTCTCCCTCCCCGCTTTTCTCGTAGCAATCGGCAGAGGCCGTTAGGGCAGTGGCGCCATTGACGCGGAGGACCCGGAGCAGCAGCGACGTGGGCCCCTCGTTGGATGGTGCGTGCGGCCAAGCCAGCGCGCGCCTCTACCGAGCGGGTTCTTGCCTCCGCCCGTGACACCAGCACGCGCGCGAGGAGCTCCTTCGCGGCGGCGCAGGGAGCGCAAACAGCAGGAGCAACGCCGGTACGCGCTGCGGAGGCGGCTATCCTCCCCTTGACACTCCAATGGCGCTGCCATGCCAAAAATTGAGGCCAACAGCTACCCATGGCCAGGGCCATTTTCAGCAGGCGATGCTGGAACAGCAAAAACCTCACTAGTGGTCCTGTTTGTCAAAACCGGGGCTTGGGCTGTATTAACCGTTCATTTTTGGATACAGATATTAATATAGACATGGATATATATAGATATAGATATAGATATAGATACAGATATAGATATAGATATAGATATAGATAATGGCAAACCATGTGTATTATTTAAGATAATTGAAGTAGTTAATTTGAAATATTTTCCTTTATAGTATATGGATAGTTTGTATACAAATTAAGCTAGTTATTTTAATCATTTTCATAATGGTTGGAAAGCAAATTAGATTCTCTATCTATTTGGGTTACTTTTCATAATGATGGTGGTGTGAATTTTTTAAAATTTTAATAGATCCAATTATTGTTATTGGGGATGTTGATTAGAATCTTTTAAATTAAAGGCTAGATGTTTCTAATTATTATAAAAAAGTTCCAATACTTTTTTCTAGGCCACATATAGGCCTAGTTAAACATGCCCAAAACACAGAGCAACCAAACTAGTCGTCCCTGTCCTAGTCGGACGATTAATCGCGATTACTCTTCGATTAATCGGACGATCAGCTTTCTGATCGAGCTGGTCTCTTCGGTACCCTAAATCGGTCACTAAGGACCGATTAGGACGAGTAATCGCGATTAATCGGACAACTTGAAAACATTGATCTACGGTGATATCATCACAGTCCTATTGCAAGGCTAACTACTATTTGGTGAAGGAATTGTTTGACACAAAAACAAAACGCTATCATTTCCCTTGGTTACATACGTTGGTGGTCCACTCTAATATGCGATACTAACCCGAGAGGTAAACATGTCAATGTCCATCGCCTACACAAGACATAACGGTAAATGCTACTATTTGGTGCAGGAATTGTTTGACACAAAAACAAAACGATATCATTTCCCTTGGTTACAGACGTTGGTGGTCCACTCTAATATGCTATACTAACCCGAGAGGTAAACATGTCAATGTCCATCGCCTACACAAGACATAACGGTAAATGCTACCACTTTGCTCTGTCATTTTTTCAAACACCTACTGAAGCATTTATTTTTTGAAATAATGTTGGGGCTCTTCCATTTATATCCTTATTTTGTATCGAAATTGTGATTTTGCCCATGTTTTTTTAACTTTGTGAATTTGCCCCTGTGTTTTCAAAACGAAGCACCACTTTGCCCCTATTCCGTCATCCTCACCTAACGGTGTTAACTTTTATACAAATGACAACTATGCCCATGTGATTTTGCCCCTAGTTTTTATGGTTGTTTGTGATTTTACCCCTGATTTGGAATACGACATTTATATTGTATTTTAACAAAAAATGTTTATATTTTATCAAATATATTTGGCACAATTTGCAATGATTTCAAATTAATTCATCCTCAAATAAAATGAACCATGCGGTCTACATCAGGAGCCAATCGGGGTGTGGATGCTTCTAACAAATTGAACGATAATATAGTGATTGCTACTAAAATCCACATTTCCACACAGCCAGCAGGCAACAGACATCGTCACATTCATCAAACTAATCTTTACAGAAATTATCTACTACTAATAGGCAGCAGCTAGCATTCATACGAATACGAACGTGTCAGCCTAAACTACAGAGGTCGCCCCTCCGACTGCAGCTCCAGCAGGAAGCTACGCCTGGCCCAGGGCCGCCCCTCCGTCACCGGCAGCTCCAGCGAGGAACCGGCGTCTGCCCTGCTGCGGTGGCTCCACTAGGCTGCTGCTCCTATCCCACCGCCGCTCCTCCAGCGGGCATCAGGCAAGGGTGGCGCGGCAGGCGCAGGCGAGTGAGCTGGTGTGCCGCCGGCCGAGGCCGCCCCACCTCCACTGCACAAGGCGGAGTGCGAGCAGCCGGACCATCACTGGCGAGGGCCACCTGTGTCTCAGGCGTGAGGGGCAGCGTAGCAGCCGGTCTCGGGCGCCGGCAGGAGAGGCCGCCCGCGCCCCTCTCGCGCTGATGGGGCGCCGGCCGCCGCCGCCTCGCCAAGGCCCTGCGTCCGTCGCGCGCTACTGCCGCCGCCGCCAGCCGTACCCGCCTTGAAGCGCCCACAGCCGCACCACCGCCGCCGGACCCGCCTTCGGATCGCCCCGATGCAGCCATCGCCCGCGAGAAAGCCCACGTCTGTGTTTTCCTTCTGGTCGGATGGGGGGAGAGGCTGATAAGGGGCAGTTTGGTCTTTTTCCTTTTGTGTTTACAGATTTTGTATTTTTTTAAACTATTTATTCTATCCTTATCTAACGGACATCCAAAGCAGGGGCAAACGGAGGATTCATTTCAAAATAACGAGAGCAAAATCACAAAGTTTAAAAAACAAGGATAAAATCACAGTTGGACTGCTGGAGAAGGGCAAGAACACAATTTTCCCAATAATGTTATATCAGCATTCAGACAAATTCAAACAAGCTCATGGAGTCATGTGCTCCATGCTAAAAGATTCATGTGTTCCATGCCAAAAGAATCAGTGGACACTGGAATCTTTGTGTTGCCCTTTATGCTGCTTCACACTTTAGTGCAGTCTTCATGAATTTATTTCCGTATTTGGATGCTGGAATCATCACATGTTGTTGGGCTTATGAACCATTTCACTACAGATTGTTTTTCCCTTTTTTTTCAAACCTAAAATAGGTACAAATTAAAAAGTTTTCAAATAGATCTAAGCGTGCTACCTGATGATGTAAGTCCCATATGTGCTGATCTTCTGGCAATGTATGTGTTGATCTTTACCTTTTTGCTTCAAACTCAGGTACATAGCAAAGCACATGGAGTCCAAGACTAATTGCTCCGCTTAGAATTTTGTGCAAAGTACGAAACAACAGATTCTGTAAATTGTCCAATTTCCATCCTTTCCCCGTGTATGATTAGAACAGACATAACTTGAAGCTTTTATAATTTTTTGTGTCCCAATCAACAACTATGCTTGCCCATGCCCGCACAACGCGCGGGGGGACTGGCTAGTATTTATATGAAGCCGAACAATAGCTATGTTCTGTACTTGTGTATGGCTCATATTACTACAAGGTTTA